AGAAAGGCTGCTAACTCCTTTTCATTTCTGGCAGCTTGAGCGCTCTACGCCATCATGAATGACACAGTAGCCATCCGGACCAGGGCGGTCCTGACCAACCACTACTTCAGCAAAACAAACGGTCACTGGCATCCTTCACCCTGGGAAAGTGACAGTGCTAAGAAAGAAAGTTGTGAAAAACTAGCCAAAACGTACAGGACCACACCAGATGTCCTATGTGGATTGGGATTTAGCGGTGGCAAGAGGACTGGCTCTGGCATGATTTGAGATTCTTTGGATTACGCAAAGAAAAATTAAGCTAAACACAGACTTGCAAGATCTGGCCTGTATGAGAAGAAGACCTCAAGAGAGCAACACAAGGAACGCAGGGGCAGCGTGAGGACAGTCGGGGGCCTGCACAGGCCCACCCTGGTGCTGCAAAAAGGAAGAATAAAGAGTCTACGGCGACTTGATCTGCACTGGTTGGGTGGATTTTTTCACCAGAGAATTAATAAACTGTAAAAGCCTTTGTGGGTCTGGCTGTTTGAAACATATTTGAAATTAGATTTCTGATGTTTTTGCAGATTTTCATCAACACTCAAATTCATGTTAGCTGCCCCATACAGCATTTAGAGAACACTGTTATACACTTGTTGATCTGCCAAGATGATGATCTTGCCGGTTTGCTTACTGGTTCAATCAGAGGTTTGTGAATTAGAGTCTGGAATGGGAAAGTCTAGATCAGGCATCCTCAAACTACAGCCCGCGGGCAACATGCAACCCACCAGATGTTTTTGCCCCGTTTGTTTTTTTTAACTTTAAAATAAGATATGTGCAGTATGCATAGGAATTTGTTCATAATTTTTTTTTAAACTATAGTCCGGCCCTCCAACGGGTCTGAGGGACAGTGAACTGGCCCCTGTTTAAAAAGTTTGAGGACCCCTGGCCTAGATCATCAAAGCTTTTCAAACGTCGTAACAATGGGGAGTACATAAAATTTGATAGCAGCAAACTTAAAAATTAAAAAAAAAAAGGCTGCTAAATGAGAGACTGGTGAATAATGACTCATCTTTTACACAAAAATCAATATGCAAAACTTTATACCATTTTGTAGTCAGTATAGCCCTTATGCTTGCAAACTTGGACCAACATCCACCACTCTGCACTCACAGAATGGGCCTGAAAGCAGCCAGCCACCCCGAGGAGCTGCTCTGCACCCCACTGCCTGGCCCACAGGCCCACCTGCCATCACCCACCAGCCCTCAGGCACAGCCAGGAACCCCCAGATTGGCTTAGGTCCCCGCCCTGTGACCGAGCTTCCCCCTCATGCTGGAGACACTGCTGAGAGGAATATGGGCAGAAGGCAGGCTCTAGAAAGACACCCATGGGCACTGACATCGGGGTCTCCCCTTCCTCCTCGTCGGTATTTTTGGGCAGTGAGGGGAAAAGAAACTGTGCAGCAGCGTTTTACAAACAATAAATTTATCTCCAAATCCTGAATGATACCCAAATTACAGTGCCCTCTGGGTCTATTTTGCTGCTTTACACAAGGATTAGAAAAGAAATGGTCAGGCCAGTCACTTAGACACAAGCATCCCGAGATGGTTTACTGGAGATGGTGGCTCTGGCCTCCCTCGTCCCCTCTTGCTCAGCTCAGCGGCAGCCACAGCCCCTCACAGGCTCCTGCCCTGAGGAACTGCTCTGACTGGCTGGCAGCAGAGCTTGGCCTCCGCAGGAACTTCCCAAGGACCACGCGCAGATGTCCACTGATGAAAGTGCAGATGAGGGCTGTCTGCAGGCTCAGGGCGGTGCCCGGTCGCATCCTCTCCCAGGGTCAGCTCAGCTCAGAGCCCAAAGCGGGCTGGGGTGCGGCGAGGGGTCATGGGCTCCCCTTGCTCTTTCCGCCCTGGAGTGTAGATCTTTGTAGACCTGGGGACATAAGAACAGGGGTTAGGAGACTCGTGCTCCTCACTCCAGCCTAGAGCAGAAAGTAGATGAACTGCCTGAACCTTGCTGACTCCAACTGGTATATGAAGAGACTGTGGGCTGGAGATCTGACCCCCAACACATTTCCACTCCCCCTTTCTTCCCAACTTTTGACTAGAACAGCAGTTCTCAACCTGTGGGTCGCGACTCCTTTGAGGGTCGAACGACCCTTTCACAGGGGTTGCCTGATTCATCACAGTAGCAAAATGACAGTGATGAAATAGCAATAAAAATGTTATGGTTGGAGGGGTCACCGCAACATGAGGAGCTGTATTAAAAGGTGGTGGCATTGGAAGGTTGAGAACCACTGGACTAGCAGCAGAAGACTGAAAGAAAGGAAGCCTCATAGCCTCTAGATCTGCTCTCGAGGCAGCTTCCCACCCGCCTTGCCAGGCCACCTCTCAGCACCACAGATAGGCACGGCCAAAGCACCCTTCTCCCCTCCACACTGTGGTTTCCAAGCTCCGGGTTGGTCATCAGTGAAGTTGTAAGGCCCGTACTGTACCCATGCCATCTCTGGCCCTCATCACAAAGACAGACTTGCAGGTGTGTGTGTGCCACACCCCTCAGGACTGTCTCGACACACTCAGCTCCCACTGCCAACTTATAACCCTCACACTTTCAGTGGCTCTTAAGCCTTGTCGCAGCATCTGAGCCTGGAAACACACACTCCACCAGGGGAAGCCCTTTAGGATGGTCTGGCAGCTGCCCAGGGGTGGGCTCACCTGACACTGCCCAGGGGGCTGCGCTTTTCCTGTTCCTGTCGCCGGGCTCGCAGCTGTTCCTCAGCCAGCGCCATCTCCTCCTCCATGGCAGAAGCTTCCTCTTTGGCCCGACGGCGGTTCTCCTAGACAGAGGAAGAGGGCCCTGGCTAAGCCCACTGGAGCCTGTCAGGTCGAGGGGTGAGTCTATGCCCACTTCCCTACTGCAGCCCAGGCAGAGGGTAAAGGGGCCATCTCACCCTCTGCCTCAACACCAAGACCATCTTTGCTTTTGAGGCCAAGGCCTGCTCTTCAGTGGTTCAAGGTGGGAATTATAGACAATTGAGATCTGACCCAGCCAGGCTTTGGCACTCCAATTCAATAAGTGCCGACATCCAATTATCCCATCGCCAACCATGCCAGAAACCAACTGGCCAGAAAGGACAGGCATTAATCATGAGGACTATGCTGAGAAAGGGAGGGAAGTAATAAACCTGCAGCACCGTACAACCCCAGACCATTGATGAAGGTGATGGTCATCAACGGATACTGCCACCTGCAGTAGAGGGAGGCCAGCTCATGAGTTATCACGCTCAGCATCACTGCAAAGGGACCACCAGCCCTCGATAGCCAGCCTGACCTACTCAGCCCTTGAGATGGCTTACTGGTTTACAGAAAACACCCGAGGCGGGGGCCTGCTTTAAACACCTGCATGAGGATACAACTGGACAAATACATAAGATGGAACCACCTCTGGGATAAGCAATCTCATTTTTCAATAAATCAAGGTCCCTTAAAAGGCACCCCGGTCAACAAAATAGTTTAAAGAAAAGAAGTTGTGAAAATGCTGACATTGTGAAAAA